CTGGCCGAAACCCAAAAGGAATTTTCATTTGTTCATTGTTGTACGCAGCAAAATCGAGTGCACAGTGTAAAGATAGGTTGCCAGGCAATGAAACATACGTCCACAGCAGCTAAATCATCTGTGTGGTCGACAAGGGTTAACACATATTTATTCCATTGTGGGTAATTGGGGGCCTTTACTAGACAGTTCCATACAGATCAGATTATAAATTTTGTCGTTTGAGCGTTTACAAGGTTCTATAAAATGAAACAAGGGTCTCAAATCTGGAAGTAATCTACAGAAATTGTTGAAATTTGACAGGCTTTTTCTTTTTACTAATTTAAATAATGCATATCAATTTCATACAGATTACATGATCACTTTTGTCATTCAAACGTTCACAAGATTCACAATCGCCATAACTCTAGAAATTATTGACAGAAATTGCTGAAATTCAATAGACCTCTGTTTCATAAATTTAAATGATGTATATAAATTTCATACATATCGGATGATAACTTTCATCAATCGAGCATTAACAAGGTTTTACAAAGTGAAACAAGGGCCATAACTCTAGAAGTAATTACTGTAAATTGCTGAAATTCAATAGGCTTCGTGGTTTCACTAATTTAAATAATGCATATAAATTTCACAAAGATCTGATGATAATTAACTTTCAGCGTTGGAGTGTTCACAAGATTCAATAAAGTGAAAAGAGTCATAATTCTAGACGTAATAAACGGAAATTGCTGAAATGGCACATATAAATTTCATACAGATCGGCAGTTAACTTTAGAGGTTAGAGCGTTCACAAAGTGCAACAAGGGCCATAACTCTAGAAGTAATAAACAGAAATTGCTGAAATTCAATAGGATTCTTCTCTTGACTAATTCAAATGACACATTTAAATTTCATACAGATCGGCAGAGCGTTAGAGCGTTCCCATGGGATAACAAAGTGAAACAAGGGCCATAACTCTAGAAGTACTTGACGGAAATTGCTGAAATTCAATAGGCTTCTTTGTTTCACTAATTTAAATCATGCATATAAATTTCACAAAGAACGGGTGATAACAAGTGAAACAAGGGCCATAACTCTAGACATAATAAACGGAAATTGCTGAAATTCAATAGGCTTCTTCGTTTCACTAATCTAAGTAATGCATATAAATTTTAGAAAGAACGGATGATAACTTTTGGTGTTAAGAGCGTTCACAAGGTTCAATAAAGTGAAACCAGGGCCATAACTCTAGACGTAATATACGGAAATTGCTGAAATTCAACAGGCTTCTTCGTCTCACTAATTTAAATATCGCATATAATTTTCAGAAAAATCGAATGATAACTTTTAACGTTAGAGCATTCACAAGGTTCAATAAAGTGAAACAAGGGCCATAACTCTAGATGTAGTAAACGGAAATTTGCTGAAACTCAATAGGCTTGTTTGTTTGACTAATTTAAACGATACATATAAATTCATACAGATCGGATAATAACTTTTGTCATTAGAGAATTCACAAGGTACAACAACGTGAAACAAGAGCCATAACTCACGGTGTAATAAACGGAAATTGCTGAAATCCAATAGGCTACTTCGTTGCACTAATTTAAAAGATGCATATCAATTTCATACAGATCAGATGATAACTGTTGTCATTAGAGCGTTCACAAGATTCAACAAAGTGAAACAAGGGCCATAACTCTAGATGTAATTAACGGAAATTGCAAAAATTCAATAGGCTTCTTTGTTTTACGAATTTAAATGATGCATATAAATTTCATACAGATCGGATAATAACTTTTGTCGTCAGAGCATTCACAAGGTACAACAAATTGAAACCAATGACTGCCAGGCAGGAGACGCCAACATTTTGCAAGAGATGGATAGAGAACAAGCTAAACAAAGATAGGTTGCCAGGCAACGAAACATACGCCCACAGCAGCTAAATCGTCCGGGCAGTCAACAAGAGTTGTCGCATATTTTTACTTTTTTCGGTAATGAAACATTATACACTAAAATCTGATTAAGAGCAACAACTCAGAAAACCATTAGAATTTGTTTGGTTTTTATAAAGTTCCGCCCCATGCTATTTTTGTATACAAAACTTTTAATACTGTATCATGGATTTAGATGTTCCAAGTCATAAAAAATCAATATACTTGTTCATCTCAAGATCATAAACTCTGTGTATCAATCTGAAGTCAATCGGATATTAACTTTGGCCTCTAGAGCGGCCACAAGATTTTTCAAAGTGATCAAGGGCCATAACTTTGGCAGTAATTATCAGAAATCTTTGAAAATCAATAGGATTCTTCGCCTCGTGTCCTCAAACACTGTTTATAAATTTAAAGTCCATCAGATATTAACTTTAGCCTTTAGAGCATCCACAAGGTTTTTTGAAGCGATCAAGGGCCATAACTCTGGCAGTAATTATCGGAAATCACTGAAAATGAATAGACTTTTCTTCTCATGACCTTAAACACTGTGTATAAATTTAAAGTCAATCGGATATTAACTTTAGACTCTAGAGCGTCCACAAGCAATTGTGGACGCCGGACCGCCGGACGGACGGGGGCGACGACAATATACGACCACATTTCAATGTGGGCGTATAAAAAGGGTCCACAACCTAGATATACCATATTTTTACGCTATTTGAGTACGAGGGGTGGCCATTTTGTCTGTCAGTTTTGGGCCGATTTTCACAAAATTCGAACTCAACCATCCTTAGGGTGTAAAGGTGATACATTCCAAGGATTTTTTAAATCGGATAATAATTGTGACCTCTAGAGGGACCTCAAGCTAAAAACGCGATTTTTCGTACAATCAGAGGCCATAATCCGGGAAGTTACAATCTGATATGCGCGAATATCGAAAGGAACCAAGATCTGTGGGTTATAAACTTATAGTTCATTCATATACCTTATTTTTACGCTATTTAAGTACGAGGGGCGGACATTTTGTCTGTCAGTTTTGGTCCAACCATCCTTAGGGTGTAACGGTGATACATTCAAATGGTTTTTGAAATCGGATAAAAATTATAACCTTTATAGGGTCCACAAGCTAAAAATGTGAATTTCCGTACAATTAGGGGCCATAATTCAGGAAGTTACTATCGAAAGGAACCGAGATCTTTGGGTTATAAACTTACATTTCAAGTTTAAACCAAATCGGATAAAAATTGTCACCACAAGCTAAAAACGTGATTTTTCGTACAATCAAGGGTCATAATCCATGAAGTTACAGATCGGATAAAAACTGTGACCTGTAGAGTGTTCACCAACAATTGCACTAATTTAAATGATGCATATCAATTTCAAACAGATCGGATGATAACTGTTGTCATTAGAGAGTTCACAAGATTCAACAAATGAAACAAGGGCCATAACTCTAGATATAATTAACGGAAATTGCTGAAATTCAATAGGCTTCTTTGTTTTACTAATCTAAATGATGCATATAAATTTCATACAGATCTGTTGATAACTTTTGTCGTTAGAGCGTTCATAAAGTGCAACAAAGTGAAAGAAGGGCCATAACTCGAGAAGAAATTAACGGAAATTATTGAAATTAAATAGAATTCTTCATCTCACTAATGCAAAAAAAATATATCAATTTCAAAACAATCAGATGATAAATGTAGCCTGTAGAGTGTTGACAAGAAATTGTGGACAATGGACGGACGGACAGGCGGGGGCAACGGCAATATACGACCACATTTCCATGTGGGCGTATAAAAATGTATATAATAATAATAATAATAATAATAATAATAACATCGTCATTTATAAAGCATGTTAAAACTGGAGAACGGTTTCTAATGCGCTGTTCGGGTTGTTATATTCACAGAATACATGTATTTACACACAGATAAGGTCTTGTGCTCATATACACTGTACAAAATTAAAAGATATATACCAGTAAATAAAAGTACATATAAGAGAAAAACAAACAGTTATCTAAATAAAATGGTTCCAGTAAAATGAATTAGAAATGAAATGGGGTTTAAAGTCTCTGCTCCAATACATGTACTGGGCTAATGAAGACTGACATACGCCATACAGTGTGCTATGAGGGAAATTTTGCCCGGGCACAGCACTATGGCCTACTCTTATATCGAATTCCAACTGCCAAGGGATGGACGGACGGACCGACCGACGGACGGAGGCGACGGCAATATACGTCCACATTTCTATGTGGGCTTATAAAAAGTAGTTCCTTTTTGATTGACCAATCAAATTCATGTAAAACGATATCTTCTAAGGAGATATCCAGTAGATTATGAAATTTATTACACAAGCGATATCTACTGTAGAATGTATTATTGGGTGATAAAATACATTAAAATCTGATTAAGAGTAACAACTCATTAAGTAATTATCAGAAAACCATTAGAATTTTGTTTGGTTTTTATAAAGTTCTGCCCCATGCTAACGTTTAGTATACAAAACTCTTAGCATCATGGATTTAGCTGTTCACGTCATAAAAATTCATTGAAAATCAATATATTTGTTCGTCTCAAGATCTTAAATTCTGTGTATCAATCTGAAGTCAATCGGATGATAACTTTAGCCTCTAGACCACCACAAGATTTTTCAAAGTGAACAAGGGCCATAATTTTGGCAGTAATTATCGAAATCGTTGAAAATCAATATGATTCTTCGTCTCATGACCTTAAACACTGTGTATAAATTTAAAGTCAATCGGATATTAACTTTGGCCTCTAGCGCAGCCACAAGAATTTTTGAAGTGATCAAGGGCCATAACTCTGGCAGTAATTATCGAAAATCGCTGAAAATCAATAGGCTTCTTCGTCTCATGACCTTAAACACTGTGTATAAATTCAATCAGATATTAACTTTAGCCTATAGAGCGTCCACAATTGCTTGTGGACGCCGGCCGGCCGGCCGGGGGCGGCAACAATATACGACCACATTTCAATGTATAAAAATTGTGACCTCTAGAGGGACTACAAGCTAAAGATGAAATGAAATAAAATGAAATGGGGTTTAACATCTTACTGTTTTGCTCTGACTGAGCTAATGAAGACCGGCATACGCCATACAGTGTGCCATCAGGGAAATTTTGCCCGGACAACTGCGCTAAAGCCTACTCTTATATCAAATTCTAACCACCAAGGGATCTTTTACTTGCACCCCAATGTGTACACAGGACTTTGGATTTTCATCCCATCTGAATAACCAGACAGCTGTCCTTGTCAGGCCATCTGTCAAGGTGAAACCATGCTGGAAAATCTTGATGAACTTTCTCAGTCAACACCAGGAGCAAACACGCGACCCACAAGCTAAAAACAAGATTTTTGGGTTATAAACATACAGTCCAAGATTCATCAAAATTGGATGAAAATTGTGACAAGCTAAAAACAAGATTTTTCGAATCCATGAAGTTACGATCCAATACATGCCAATTTTGAAAGGAACTGAGATCTTTGGGAGATAGACCTATATTTCAAGTTTCATCAAAATCGTATAAAAATTGTGACCTGTAGACTGTTCACAAACAAATAAGAACGGACGACAATATATGTCCACATGAAAATGTGGGCGTATAAAAATTAATAACAACTATAACGAGTATAAACTCCACTATCAGAATTCATAGTTTCAGTCTGGAAATTAACTACTAGAAATTCTCAGAGGATACTTTAAAAATAAAATATATCTGTGATACAAAGTTAATGTGAATTATATTCTATAAAGGAGTGTGCACAGGACTGGAGATAAATATATATGAAATAACTATAATTTTACTATGTGATAAATACCTGTTGCTAGAACTTGAAGCTGCAACATTGAAGTTTCTTGGAATTTCTGTTTGGCACTTTGGGCACTCTTTGTCCTCATCTAGTTGAATGTCATTCATACATTCAGTACAAATTTTATCATGACATGGAAGTTCTATTGGTGCAGATTCAAATACATTTCCACATTTTGTACAAGATCCCACTTCTCTACAATTATATAACAAGTGGTTGTCATGCAAGAGATAGACAGACACCAAGCCAAAAAGATAGGTTGCCAGGCAACGAAACATACGCCCACAGCGGCTAAATCGTCCGAGCAGTCGACAAGGGTTGTCGCATATTTATTCCTTTGTAGGTAATTTACAAGACAGTTCCATACAGATCAGATTATAATTTTTGCCCTTTGAGGGTTCACAAGGTTCTACAAATTGAAACAATGGTCTCAACTCTGGAAGTAATCTATAGAAATTGTTGAAATTTGACAGGCTTTTTCGTTTCACAAATTTAAATGATGCATATACATTTCATACATATCAGATGATAACTTTCATACATATCAGATGATAACTTTCATCAATCTAGCATTAACAAGGTTGAACAAAGTGCAACAAGGGCAATAACTCTAGAAGTAATGAACGGAAATTGCTGAAATTCAATAGGATTCTTCTCTTTACTAATTCAAATGACGCATGTAAATTTCATACAGATCAGCAGATAACTTTTGATGTTAGAGCATTCACAAAGTTCAATAAAGTGAAACAAGGGTCACAACTCTAGACGTAATAAACAGAAATTGTTGAAATTCAATAAGCTTCTTCGTTTCACTAATTTAAATAATGCATATAAATTTCAGAAAGATCGGATGATAACTTTTGGCGTTAGAGCATTCACAAGGTTCAATAAATTGAAACAAGGGCCATAACTCTAGACGTAATACACAGAAATTGCTGAAATTCAATAGGCTTCTTCGTTTCACTAATTTAAATAATGCATATAAATTTCAAAAAGATAGGATGATAACTTTTGGGGTTAGAGCATTCACAAGGTTAAACAAAGTGAAACAAGGGTTATAAATCACGGCGTAATAACCGTAAATTGCTGAAATTCAACAGGCTTCTTCGTTTCACTAATTTAAATGATGCATATCAATTTCAAACAGATCGGATGATATCTGTTGTCATTAGAGCGTTCACAAGCCTTCAACAAAGTGAAACAAGGGCCATAACTCTAGATGTAATTAACAGAAATTTCTGAAATTAAATAGGCTTCTTCATTTTACTAATTTAAATAATGCATATAAATTTCAGAAAGATAGGATGATAACTTTTGGGATTAGAGCGTTCACAATGTTAAACAAAGTGAAACAATGGCCATAACTCTAGAAGTAATAAACGGAAATTGCTGAAATTCAATAAACTTTTTCGTTTCCCTAATTTAAATATTGCATATAAATTTAACAAAGATCTGACGTTAACTTTTGGCATTACAGCGTTCACAAGGTTCAACAAAGTGAAACAAGGGCCATAACTCTAGACGTAATAAACAGAAATTATTGAAATTAAATAGGCTTCTTTATCTCACTAATGTAAACAACATATATCAATTTTAAAACAATTGGATGATAACTTTTGGCGTAAGAGCGTTCACAAGAAATTGTGGACGACGGACGGACGGGCGGGGGCGATGGCAATATAGATGTAATTAACGGAAATTGCTGAAATTCAATAGGCTTCTTCATTTTACTAATTTAAATAATGCATATAAATTTCAGAAAGGTAGGATGATAACTTTTGGGATTAGAGCGTTCACAATGTTAAACAAAGTGAAACAATGGCCATAACTCTAGAAGTAATAAACGGAAATTGCTGAAATTCAATAGACTTCTTCGTTTCCCTAATTTAAATATTGCATATAAATTTAACAAAGATCTGATGTTAACTTTTGGCATTAGAGCGTTCACTAGGTTCAACAAAGTGAAACAAGGGCCATAACTCTAGACGTAATAAACAGAAATTATTGAAATTAAATAGGCTTCTTCATCTCACTAATGTAAACAACATATATCAACTTTAAAACAATTGGATGATAACTTTTGACGTAAGAGCGTTCACAAGAAATTGTGGACGACGGAGGGACGGACGGGCGGGGGCGATGGCAATATACGTCCACATTTTTATACGTCTGATATGCAGGAAAATCAAAAGAAACAGAGATCGTTGGGTTATAAACATACATTTCAAGTTTCATTAAAATCAGATAAAAATTATGACCTCTAAAGTGGCCATAACCCTGGTTTTACATACTTTTACACTATTTGTGTACAATCTAGCGGCCATTTTGTCTGGCATTTGCAGTCAGATTTTCACGAAATTCAAACTCAACTATCATTAAGGTGTAACATTAATATATTTAAACGTTTTTTAAAATTGAATAAAAATTTTGACCTCTTGAGGGTGTAGCAATATTGTCGGTAGATTCATATATATGTAAAATTGTACTTAAGTCAACTTAGTGAGTAACTGACAGTTGACACATAAAAAGAGTTAAAGAACCAAAACATAGCTGGCTGTATGTGTCAATAAAATACCACCAGATTACACGTGAGTGGAATTATTCTAATTGCATCATTTGGCTTAACTTAACCAATCATATCAGAAATTACACAAGTTCAGGGCCATGAACACACTTTGTTATGTGTGATATACGCGAGTGCTATATGTAACAGTTATTAACACACTTTCCAAGGTGTATTGGTGAATATCAGGACAGTTTTGGTCGAGGGGCCCAGCCGAGGCGGCTCCCGACCAAAACTGTCCTGATATTCACCGATACACCAAGGAAAGGTGCTAATAAGTTACTTACATCACATTTCTATCGAGTATTGTGAAACAAAATGTGAAAAATAGTATTTATTATCGAGTCGTTTCAACCTAAAAGTGACAATTACTTTCTGCTCTTTCATTTATCCCTTTCTGAGCCTCACGTTACATTTCATGGTAGAATGATTTCGCAGTGGAGAGACGACCTGAGTAGTATTGACACATGCGTCTTGCTATGATACTCTGAGTGTAAAACAATCACGTGTTTGTTTAGACCACATCGTCAAAACAACTTGTCTATGGCGTAGAGGACTGCGATATTATTAAATGTAGTGTAAAGGAAATGTGAAACGTGGCTCATTCCTGGTGAAAGTATGCATCGGCGGATGGTTCTTCCGCTGAAATTTATTTGGAATAAAGTTTATGACTTTTTTTTCATCCTGCTTATTTTCAATGCCTGTGAAGTGTCCAGCAAGAGAACTGCACCTTCTTTCATCACAATTAATTAAAATAATTATTCAATATTCTAATTTATATATTTTGCATATTAATATAAATCAAACCAAATTATGAAATAGATGCCAATTGATATGTATAATAATTGATTTTTGTAATATGTTGTTATGTTAATTTAATGTCATTGTATATGTTTTTGAACTGCCATGTAGTTCCCCCCGGTTTGTTTTGTTACTATGATTTTGACTAGTTGTTTCATGTACCTTATCCGAGTGCATAGTATAGAGCCATTGTTATCAATTGCGATCTGGGTCGGACTAAACGTCCGCTACTTATTGCTTGATAAAACAGTATAAAAGTATCCGTGTATCAGAAATGAACAGTACTCTTTCTGATACACGGATACTTTTAAGCATGTATTGAAAATAAACAGGACAGTTTTATCAAAGGTTGCCAGTGGCAACGAGTAGAAGTGGGATGTAAAAGATATATATTTGAAACTTTCAAGCAGACTTCCATTAGATTCCAGAGAGGTTCCATCTGAGTTCCTAGACAGCCGCGAGGCTGGCTAGGGTGGAGAAATGGTTTTAGCTATTATTGTAATCTGTGCTTGTATACATGTATTCTGCTATGCTATATAAAATGTAGAAGCGAACTGTTGCATTGTTATTCCTGGTAAGACAGACGTCTTAAGAAAACAGTAAGAAGTAAATACACAACGTGAAGCAGAAGTAAAGACAGAGACAAATTCTAGATGATCACAAGGCTACAGAAATATGTAGTAAGAAAAGATGCATGGGTCGTATGTAGGATGTGGGGACCGGTTTTTAGGATCGCCCGCTCTCCATTTTCCAGTGACCACAAAGACTGCGTTTGCTGGTTACGTCCCCTGGCTATCATGTCCTTTAACCCCAAGGTCAATTTCACGGCTCATTTAAATGACCAAACGAACTGTCAGGAGGATAATATTTCGTGGCCGGTTCTTAACGCTAGTTTTAAAACGATTCAGTCTTATTTTCTGCCACGGGCAATAGAGAATATACTTCATAAACCCCTATAGACAGGCTTTAATACGATCCGTATAAATAATGCAAACGCTGTCTCTTGTAATCACCTCACCCCTCACGCCTTCACAACAAATTTGAACAATGGCTAACGAGAGTTAATTGAAGTGAATCGAACGATATTAATGTCATAATAAATAACAGAAGAATATTGTGGAAATAAATTTATTCAAATAAATCGACATTTCTATAGTAGGCTTAATGATAATGTTAGGGAAATTCATGTTTCTATCAGAAATACTAATGTTATTTCTGTAATTTTTGATTAACAAAATGGTGGCAAAAAATTTCTGATGCATCGATACGAGAATCGATGTTTGCGTCCGATGCATCGATGCGTGAAATTTTACTTGATATCAGCACTATCCATAACCTAGGAAGTTAAATATCAATATGCGCAAATATCGAAAGGAGCCGAGATCTTTGTGAAATAAACATGAATTTAAGGTTTCATCAAAATTGAATCAAAACTGTAACCTCTAGAGGGTCCATAAACTTGATATACCATACTTTTTACACTATTTGCGTATGAGGAGTGGCCATTTTGTCGGGGAGTTGGTCGGATTTTCATGAAATTCAGATTCAACCATCATTATGGTGTAACGGTGATATGTGTAAACATCTTTTTAAATCAGATAATAACTGTGACCTCTCGGGGGACCACAAGCTAAAAATGTGATTTTTTGTACAAACTGGGGTTATAATCCAGGAAGTTGCGACGGTCCTATATCCACAAATATCGAAAGGAACCAAGATCTTTGGGTTATAAAGATAAATTTGAAGTTTCATCTAAATCGGAATAAAAATTGTAACCTCTAGAGTGTCCAAAAGCTAAAAACGTGATTTTTTTTGTACTATCAGGGGCCATAATTCATAAAGTTTCGATCCAATACATGCCAACATTGAAAAAAACCAAGATCTTTTGGAGATAAACATATATTTAAAAGTTTCGTCAAAATTGGATAAGAATTGTGACCTGTCGAGTGTCCACAAACAAATTGTGGCAGGATGTACGGACAGGGGCGAAGATAGCATTTTCATGTGGGCGTATAAAAATCAGAACTCAAAACAAAAAGATGGGTTGCCAGAAAATGAAACATATGCCCACAGCTGCTAAGTCGTCCAAGTAGTCGACAAGGGTTGTCACATATTTTTTATTTTGCAGGTAATGAAAATATTTACAAAACACTAAAATCTGATTAAGTGTAACAACCCATTAAGTAATTATCAGAAATCAGTAGCGTTTGTTTGGTTTCTAGTTCTGCCACATGCTAACGTTTAGTATACAAAACATTTAATATCTTTGTGCTGTAAAGAGGGGACAAGAATATTCAAAGGGGTCAAGGGCTATAACTCTGGCAGTAATTATCAGATATCAATTTCTTTGTCTCATGACATTAAACAATGTGTATAAATTTAAAGTCAATTGATGATAACTTTGATTTGTAGTGCATCTACAAGGTATTTAAAGGGCAGTAATTATTGAAAATTATTGAAAATCAGTAGGTTTCTTTGTCTCATGACCTTATACTGAATAAATTTAAAGACAATCTGATATTAGCGTCTAAGAGTGTCCACAAGATTTCAATAATAATGCACAATTTTATGATTCCTGCAGATCTGATGCACATTTTTATATGATTACATGCATTTGGTCGAGAAAATAGATATAAATACACAACTTACCCCAAAAGCTTCTTTAATACTGCTGTGTTTATTAATTTTAGGAATTTTTCAACTTTTTCTAATGAATTCAATTTGTGCATATCAGCTTCCTCACCTAACAACTGTAAAAGATTATCACAATTCTATAATTCACGTAACTGATGAAAAGTAAGAACATGCATATTTAAGTAATAAAACAACAATTCTAGATATCCAAATGGCTTCCCGAATTTACAACATTAAAGCAGCATTAGGCAAAATTAGATAAACAGCTGATAGTTCTCTCTATAATAGTTAAAGATAGGTTGCCAGTAGGGCTCAGGCTGTAGGTCGCCTAAGTTGCAATTTGCACTAAAAATGAAATTGTTAAAATTTAACAGGATCTTTCATCTTACTAATTTAAATAATGCATATAAATTTCATACAGATCGGAAGACAGCATTTCTAGTTAAAGCATTTACAAGATTCAACAAAGTAAAACAAGAGCAATAAATATGGAAGTAATGAACAGAAATTGCTGAAATTCAATAGGATTCTTCGTTTCAGTAATTCAAATGATGCATATAAATTTCATATAGATCCGATGATAACTTTTCTGACACAAGGGGCATAACTCTAGACATAATTAATGGAAATTGCTGTAATTTAATAGGCTTTTTCTTTTTTCGACAAATTTAAAGGATGCATATAAATTTCATACAGATCGAATTATAATTTTTGGTGTTCACAAGGTGAAATAAAGTGAAACAAGCGGTTGCCATGCAAGTATGCCCGCATTTTGCAAGAGATGGACAAAGAACAAGCTTAAAAAAAATGGAACGATTTTTCGAACATTCAGGGGCCATAATCCAGAAAGTTACAGTCCGATATGCATGAATATCTACAGGAACCTAGATCTTCAGGATATAAACATATTTTAAATTTCATCAAAATCAGATAAACATTGTGACCTCTAGAGGATCCACAACCTTGGTATTACATACTTTTATACTATTTGCGTACAAGGAGCAGCCATTTTGTCAGGCAGTTTCGATCTGATTTTCAAGAAACTACATGTAACGGTGATACATTTAAACGTTTTTTAATAATCGGATAAAAATTGTGACCTCTAGAGGGTCCACATTCTAAAAACATGATTTTTCATACAATCAGGAGCCATAATAATCCAGGAAGTCATGCACAAATACCGAAAGGAACAGATATCTTTAGTAGATAGACCTTTATTTCTAGTTTTGTCAAAACTGAATAAAAATTGTGATTTGTAGAGTGTCCACAAACAATTTGTAGATGGATGGACATCCGGACGGACAGGGACGACGGCAAAATATGTCCACATGAAAATGTGGGCATACAAAAAGGGCCATAACTCCAGAACAAATTGATGGAAATTATTGAAATTAAATAGGCCTCTTCATCTAGGTAATGTAAACAATATATATCAATTTCAAAACAATCAAATGATAAATGTAGTCTGTAGAGGGTTCACAAAAAAGTGTGGACAACGGACGGATGGGGGTGACGGCAATATACAACAAGATTTCCATGTGGGCGTATAAAAAAATAGATAATGAAAAGAGAATATATTGAAAATTTCGTCGGATTACTTTACTCTGAGCCTAGATATTAGTGATACAATTATAGGCTAGTCTCGATTGTATTTAAATCTACTAAATATCACAGGCATTTGATGGCATTGAGAGTTGATTATGGTCTGGGTAAGTTAATCAATGTCTAATTAGTAATTCATATAACATTTCAGGCATAGTCAGATCATTAATACAAAAAAAAAACTTGTCCAAAATTTTTCAATGTGTCACTTACATTCCAGAGAATCTGCCATCTAAGGGATTGATATAGATTAGCAGTAGGTTTATCGGCTGGTGAGAAGTGCTTAATAAACAGCGTAATAGTTACAATTCTTGTCCACAAACATCTGTAAGTAATAAATTATCTAAATATAACTACTTAATTAATAATTAGCTTAATTATACACTGTTAAATATTGTAATCATGTGACAAACCTGAAGATTTCCACACATAGCCACATGAAAATGTGATGTATGAATTATGTTTATGTAATTTATGTATCGGCATGCAATTTAGACCATATCATAGTCCTGTTTAAAATAAAGATGCATGATTGTCATTTTGTGCTAAAATATCAAATTCCTCACAACTTAATCCATGCTAATTTGTACTCAAATTATTATTTAACTTTTAATCATAAAAAAACAAAATCAAAATACCAACACTAGATAATGTCCCAGCTTGGATTTAATCGGATTTGAAACAGGTTTATCACCCAATAATACATTTTACAGTAGATATCGCTTGTGTGATATATTTCATAATCTACTGCGATATCTCCAAAGGAGATATCGCTTTACATGAATTTGATTGGTCAATTGAATTATATTTATCTATTTGTGCATGTAAGAAGGGAGTGGGTGATAAATAAAATATCTTACTCGTCTTTTTTGATATCCAAAAATATCAACTTGTGTTGATATTTTTTGATATCAAAAAAGACTGGAAGGAGATTCTCTATCTATCAATAAATTGTCGTGGACAAAAAAATGGCAGCGTTTAGCATAGCATGATGAAATTTGATTTCCATATATCTTTGTAAATACTGAACGGAACTGAACCATTTTGGACTGATATTCCTATTCAAGATTCATCTTTCAAAGTATTATAGTTTGCAAGGGATTCCTTGACCCACAAGACTTAAGTCTCAAATTTTTCTATTAAAATTGAATGAAGTTAAAAAAGTTCTAAAAACATTAACAAAAAACTTTGAATGCATTAAGAATTCACAAGAAGACTACATGTAAATTGAAAATAGATGAAGAAATAGATAGTTTTATGTTTGTCTAATCAAACCTTATTTGTAATAAGTGAGTTCTACAAGCATCATGATACTCCAGTCCTTTAACTGTTTCTGTCGATGAACTTAATTCCAGTATTCTTTCAGCTACTGGCAAACATCTACAAGTTTCTTTATACCAACATTGTCTACCATTTGAAGTTCCCAACTGACCTTTATGTGGTTCCATCTTCTCCATCAACAAAAATAAACCCAAAACATCTCCTGTCTGAAACAAACAGGAGTTCAAGTGGTATTAATTGGCTATTCTTGTCACCTAGCAACTTTAAGTTGCTCAAGCCCACCCACATATGGGGCTAATCAATATCATTTTAGACAAATTGAATAAGGACCACCTAAACAACATATATCAGGATCCTTTAAGGGACCCCACCATGGGTTCAATGAACTTCATTTGATTAAAACTAATATACCTATCACATTTGACTGAAATCCATCAATTGGTTTTGGAAAAGTTAAAATGTGTGAAACTTTTAACATTTGGCCCTTTAAATAAGGAGTCTAAGCCCATCACACCACTATCATGTCAACCAACTTTATTTGAACAAACATCACACAGGCAACATAATTATCAAATTTGGTTGAAAATTCATCAAGTGGTTATGGAGAAGAATTTAAAAAATTGGTGAAAAGATATACATTTTCCCCTATAAGGTGCCCTTTATGAGGCTAATAAGCATCATTCAGGCAACATACTTACAAAATCCTTTGTGTGGTTATGAAGAAAAAGCCGAAAATGTTATTGGACAGGAGGTGTGACATAAGCCTGATGGGATAAAAATAACGAAAGTCAACATAAAGCCCTGGTACTTTCAATGCAGACTTGTACTTTCACTACAGACCAGTGATGGGATTTCAAAAAATTTCATGTCGGACATTTTTTCCCGAAAATAAAGGGGCATAACCGTAATTTAAGCAGACGTTTTCAAAACACAATTAAGAATCATGTGTCAACAAAATATTTTCAAATTCATATGTAAAAAAAAAATAGGTGCCATTCGTTATATTTCATGTTTAAAACCCGTACGGTATTCAAATTTATGTCAATAATATTCCTACAAAATTACATGACATCGTAATACTATAGAATTAACAGCGTGCCGACTGCTGCCGATCTGTTTCAAACTCCCCCAAAATTACCGTATTTTTCGGGTCATACGTCGGTACATTTTTCAGCAAAGTCCGACATTCGTCTGATACTCCGTTTCGATTTATATACGGAAGGTAAAAAAATGACATCCCGAAATTTATTGGGCCGTAAACCGTAGTTAACGACGCCCTAATGAGCGAGTGTAACCAACTTCTAAATAATTGCATTCGACTGTAGCACGCGCTATCGTCTAAAACAATTAACTACTTACGTCATTCCAATCGAAATATTCGTCAACATTTCTTAGCCTGTTTATTTATTTATTTAAAGACATAAACCCCCTTCAAAATATGATCATAAATCCGACAATATGCTATCAAAATAGAATCTTTTCTCGAACATCAGGCGTATTGGATTCAGCACGTATACATCTCTTAATTTCACGTGTCTCGCGAGATTTGTACTTTCATTTTAATTACTGAACTCTATAAGCGCCATGTGTGTCTCGCGAGATTTGTACTTTCATTTTAATTACTGAACTCTATAAGCGCCATGTGTGTGAAATATCTTTATTTAACTTCGGCTTCCACCAAAAATATATCACAGACAAGTTATCGGACACAATGTATGTTGATTTGAGGTGTTATATACTATCAGGATATGTGACATATGACTAATTTCTACGTGTTATTGTCCGACACAAAGGAGATTAAAACGTGAGACAATGGTCAATGGAGAAATCACGGGTTAATCAGATTAAGTTTCTAATCACTCTTATTGGATTGATATATCGTCCGACAAAGGAGAAGCAATGACTTCTGTTCAGGATTAATTTGATGAATTGTCCGATAAAGAATTAGTTCAGCCAATCAAGGCAGAATAGTAGTTAATCAAGGTAGGTGTGTAAGACGATATAACACGATAAATAGTCGATCACTTAATTACCTAATCAATCCAGCCTATTATCAACGATAATCGGGTTGCACGGTAGTTATACACTCAGTACACTATATTAATTTTGGAATTTGAATATTATTCACCATGTCTTGATGTCCGATTGGGCATATTCCCGGTCGGACAATTTTGGGCGTTTCGAAAAAAGATTCGGACAAGTCCGGAATATACGGGTAAAATCCCATCACTGCTACAGACTTGTCAGTTAAAGTTACTTTCAATCCATATGGTTTTGTAGAACAGATGTACATGGTCATGTCAATCTTGAATATTGTTTATAAAAGAATAAACTAAATGTCCCTTTTAATCCACATCTGCTTATGAAAGTTCTTAAAATGAAGAGATTGGAATCCACAAGTTATATTTATACCTACCATACATTTGAAATTTTATTGTAATACAGCATAAGTTTTGAACAAAAAAGCTTAAAACTCATTTTTCATGCTTGCTGGACAAAAAGAGAATATTCTTTAAGTATATCTACCATATAATTTCTGTTTAATAAGTTATGACCAGTATTTCTTGCTTTCATATCTAATACTGCATCAATAACACCTGGCCAGATGTGAACAATTTCCAGAAAGTGTTGAATTCTATATTGAGTTATGGTATGTATATAATGTACAACAGCTATAATCCAACTGATATCCAGTTCTTCTACATAAAATTCACACTGATTCAAGGCACTTGATAAAATATCATATAAAATCTGAAATCCAATGGAAAAAAAAAGATAGTTTGCCAGGCAACGAAACATACACCCACAGCAGCTAAATCATCTGGACGGTCAACAATGGTTAACACACATTTATTCTTTTGTAGGTAATTGTGAGCATTTACAAGACAATTTCATTTAAATCAGATTATAATTTTTGTCATTAGAGGGTTCACAAGGTTCTACAAACTGAAACAAGGGTCTTAAGTCTGGAAGTAATTTACAGAAAATTTTGAAATTTGACAGGCTTGTACGTTTTACTAATTTAAATTTCATACAGATTGGATGATAATGTTTGTCATTCGAACATTCACAAGGTTCACAAAGTAAAACAAGGGCCATAACTCTAGAAGTAATTGACAGAAATTCAACAGATCTCTGTTTCACAAATTTAAATGATGCATATAAATTTCATACATATCGGATGAAAACTTTCATCAATCAAGCATTAACAATGTTAAACAAAGTGAAACAAGGTCAATAACTCTAGAAGTAATTATGGAAAATTGCAGAAATTCAATAGGCTTCTTCGTTTCTCTAATACAAATAATGCACATAAATTTCACAAAGATCGGATGATAATTTTTGGCGTTAGAGTGTTCACAAAGTCCAAGAAAGTGAAACAAGGGCCATAACTCTAGACGTAATAAAAGGATGTAATGCGATGTAAATTTAGTGAAAAGCTAAAGTAATTTTAGTTTAAATATATCATTTGTGTGGAAATTACCACTGTTCGGTTGGTTGTGCCGAATTATTTATCAATATGGAGATTTCTGTTTTATGGATATTGCTATTGAAGGTAAGATGTACAATTTACGCAACGTGGCACATTTTTATCAATTTAATAAATGTGACGCAATCCAGCGAAATGAGTCGGAAGTCGCAATTGGTGATTTCGAGCTGCAGGCCCAAATATGTGAAATGCATTGAAATTTTCGAAAAAATTTTTATCACGCCGTTGGGTACTTAAACCTATCTACTTTGATCTCCCGAAGTCTCAAGTCAAGATATCATCGATAAATAATCTTATTTTACCATTTATTAGGTCAACTCAATATAAAGAAAGGTATTATCCTCAACAGAAGTAAATAATACTGCTATGTTAGATGTAAAGGATCTTGAAATGAATAAGATTGAAGCATATAGCTGTAAGAACTGCAAACTTAATAATGGTGAACCCTGTTTTATGTTATTTAGCAAGGATTTTGTTTATGAATTAAGACTGATCATGTCATCGCTGTCTGATTTTGAAAAGGACCTGATTTTGCTTGGCAAAATAAGTTGTGTTTTTAGGAATGATCCCTACACACAGTCATCGAAGAAAAAGCAACAAAAGGAACGTAAACACCAGCGAACAGAACACTATGTTAATGGGATACGTGTTTGTCGTGAAACCTTCAAGTTTCTTCACTGGTGAGAGTCTTGCCTTTGTTTTTATAACCAAAATTGCTGAGTTTATTGTCAAGTCCCATTCAAGTCGCCAATTCATCAGATGAGTCAGCAATTTGTGGCAAATAAGGCTAGAAAGATTTATGTCTCCTCACCACAACTTGAGTAATTAGCTCCTTCAAGTCGCGTGTTGTCATGATCCGATAGCCCGATGGAGAGTCAATTCGCAATAAATATTTCAAGTCGAATCGCAAACCTGTCTTTATTGCGATTTAAGTCAGACTTGAGTCCTACTCACGGGACTCAAGCTCCCACCTTGCTTCATTCAAAAGATATTCTATCCAAATCCCACCGGCACAACAATATTACTGGTATCTTGAATATATTATTATTAATATATCTACAGTAAGTTTAAATTCTAATAAAAACCTACAAAAAATTTACACATTTGTTTTAATTTTTCAGCATAAGCCAGAACAAGCTTACAGCTCTATTAAAACACTACAAAAAATTTGGTATAACACCACGCGAGAAGAAATCTGGTGGTAGACATGCTAGTGATAAACGTTTGTTAACTCATGATGATATTTGTAGAGTGGTTACTTTCATTATTAACTTTGCTGAGCTTCATGCTTTAGTGTTGCCGGGAAGAGTTCCAGGCTTTAAAAGATTTGATATCAAGCTACTTCCATCTCATTACACAAAATCAAAGGTGTTTTTGTCATATCAGACAGCAATGAAAGAAGCAGGTATGGAGGCCTATAGACAGTATCAATGTTCGAAAACAATTAATTTTACAATGTGGACATTGTTGTCAGTGAGAACGTCCGTCTACCCGTCCGTCCACAATTTGTTTGTGAACACTCTACTGGTCACAATTTTTATCCGATTTTGACGGACCTTGAAATATAGGTTTATATCCCCAAGATCTTGGTTCCTTGTGATATTGGCATGTATCTGACCGTAAATTCATGGATTATGGCCCCTGGTTGTACGTAAAAATCACGATTGTAGCCTATGGAGTATGGACCCTACAGACGTCACATTTTTATTCAATTTTTAAAATCGTTTAAATATTTCATTGTTACACCCTGATTATGATTGAGTTCGAATTTAATGAAAATAGGACAAAGTGCCGACAAAATGGCCGATCCCCTATACGCAAATATTATGCAAGCATGTAATTCCAAGGATGTGGACCTACTAGGCCAATTTTTAACCGATTTTGATGAAACTTAAAATGTATGTTTATCACATTTTTTTTTCTAGCTTGTTCTCTATCCATCTCTTGCAAATTGTGGGAGTATCTTGCATGGCAACCGCTGGTTTCAAAATTTTTATACAAGCATGATACCACATCATACATAAATGAAATGGGGTTTGACATCCTACTTTTCTGCTTCAACCGGGCTAATGCTTTGTTGGAAATTTTGTCCAGACATCGGCGTTTCTACCAATCTTCATCAAATTACATCTGCCAAGGGTTCTTTTATGTGCATGCCAAGATGTAAACAAGACCATGGTTTTTTGTCCTATCCGAATGACTAGACACTGTTCCTTGTCAGGTTCTCTGACTTGCACCACTGACAATGAGAAAGCCGATGAACTTTCTGGGCCCACGTCGGGATCAAACCCGTGTCCCCCTGGTTAGTAAGCTAGCTCTTTCTTTGGCTTCCCACTTCATACAAAATGAGATGAAAAGAAATGGGTTTAACATCCTACTTGTCTACACCAACAGGACTAATTAAGAGGTCATACAGTGTTCTATGAGGGTAATTTTGCCCGAACTTCGTTGTTATTGCCTACTCTTATTAGAATTTTGACTTTCAAGGGTTCTTTTACGTGCATGTCAACAAAACCTGGTTTTCGTCCTAGTAATAGTAGTAAGCTTATATATAATTTTAATTTTCTATGTCAAGATTAATTTCCTTGGTTTTTTATATTTTTAGGCGAACGGGTAGTGAATATTGTGGGTTTTCGGAGGCTTTGGAATACACTTGTGCCGTTTATAGTCCGAACCAAGCCGATGACAGATCTTTGTTGGGTTTGTCAACAAAACAATTCACTGATTTATAAGAGTGCTAACATGTCAGATCAGGAAAAGTCTGTGAGGTGTAAAACACAAGAAGAACACATTCTGAAAGTGACACTTGAACGTTCTCTGTATAATTCTATGGTACAGAAGGCAAAAGATGTTTTGAAAAACATAGGAGTAAATGAACTTGAAACAACAAGTCCAGCAACACGAGATATAACAATGCACTACTCGTCTGATTTTGCACAGCAAGTGCATTACCCTTCCAATCCACTTCAACCAGGCCCGATGTATTTTTTAACCCCTCGCAAGTGTGGGTTGTTTGGCATTAATTGTGAAGCTCTGCCGAGGCAGGTGAATTATTTAATAGATGAGGGAATGTGCATAACAAAGGGATCAAATGCAGTTATAATTTATCTAGATCACTTTTTTTGTAATTATGGTCTTGGAGAAATGCATCTCCAACTGCATTGTGATAACTGTTGCGGCCAAAATAAAAACAATGCTCTTTTGCAATACTTGTTATGGCGTGTAATCCATGGACTTCACAAGTCTATTACACTTAACTTTCTGATCAGTGGTCATACAAAGTTTGCACCTGATTGGGCCTTCGGGCTAATAAAGCAAACTTATCAGAGAACTATGGTTTCTTGTTTAGATGAAATTTCAGAAGTAGTCAAGACAAGCACTTCTACTGGAGTAAATAAAGCTCAACTTGTTGGTCATGAAAATGGTGACATCTTGGTACAACAAAGGACTGGCAATCCTTTTTGCATCCTTACTTCCGTAGTCTACCCGGGATAAAGAAATATCAACATTTCAGGTATGTATAAAAATGATTTTTCAGCCAGGTTTCCCATTGACAATGGTGCGGGATGGAAGGTCTAGCAAAGAGAGATAGAGAGAAATGGGGTTTAACATCCACTCGACACAAACTAGGTCATTTTGGAACTAACAAATGTTTCAATTTTATTTCAATAATTCGCTTCCGCGTAGGGTCTTTAGCAGTGGGAGGAAACCGGAGGACCTGGAGAAAACCCACGAGGTTGGACAGGCGACCCTACTCCTTGTCACGTACAACCGGGGAATCGAAACCCCGCCAGTTGACTCAATGACAGACCGTGTGATACAGCGCACGCGTGCTAACCATTCGGCCATCCATCCCCCCAGGGTCTAGCAAGCAACAGCGTCTGGTTGTTTGTATGGACGAAAAAGAGATCTGTATGCATGTTAAAGAACCCTTGACCTGATGGCATTTGCAATAAGAGGAGGCTGTAGCACTGCTGTCCGCACACATTTTCCCTCATAGCACATTGCATACCCGTTTTCATTAGCCCCATTGATGCAGAAAAGTAGGATCGTAAACCTATTTCATTTCATTTGTGTATAAAACAATGCACTTTTAATTTGAGCACAGTTAATATTATTAGTAACATACTACAGTATTTTTATTTACTCATCAATGTTCTTTCAGATTTGACAGTGAACACCCAGGATGGGTATTTAAGAAGGAATTTACTTCCTCTTTGGAAGTTGGAGTATGTCTGCAGAAAGCAACATTACTGCCGCC